GTAGCTTTGCACGAAATCCATAACAAACAAACAATAGGTATAATTCAAAACTATTTAGTGTTTAGTGCTTTTAAACAAAAAGATATAATTTTATAACTAAATATATATTAGCATTGTTATAGTGAAGATAGTTACAGATTATAATATCATAGTCATTATTAAAAGGTTTCTTATTGAAACCACACATTTGTTTCCCGAAAAATTATTTATTTCAATTACTTTATACTAACAGAGGATTATCGCTTTTTATAGGACTAGAAATAATCAACAGCATTCATTAGAGCTAATTCAACACCAGCATCGTGACACTTAACTATACACCGAATAATGGGACTCTACTTATTATTTACCATTAATATATCTCTTTTAATCAGACGCGAAATAAGTTTTTAATTGACACATTAAGCACTAATATTTCAAAAACAAATGAATCATCAACTTAAAGAACTTCAGTTTTTCAAATACTGGTGTAATTTTTGATTCACGTCAACAAAGTTTAATAAATCTTTATTTTCTCGTGGCAGATATTGTTGTTCCTACGCCTTGCACTTTTTTTTTAATTTGCACTTGTCGAAAGCAAGACAACATTTGTATCGACATATAACAGAATGCTCGTAGATAATTATTTAGAGTAACGTTGTGTTAACTAAGAGTTGAAATGTTATCTGAAATTCAAGGATGTTCAAAATATGAATGACAAAACAACAAAGTACACAGCCTATCAACACGTAAATGAACCGCTCACTCCATAAAGATAGTTATTTTATTAAATAAACAAATATAAAACTTGGGGTATAAGAATACCATTAGTATTTAGTGTAGCCCCTCAGTAGCACAGCGGTATGTCTGCGGACTTACTACGCTAGAAACCGGGTTTCGATACCCGTGGCGGGCATAGCACAGATAGCCCATTGTGTAGTTTTGTGCTTAATTCCAAACAAACAAACAAAGTATTTAGTGGATCTACTATATTTAGGACAAAAAACATGGTTACACATCGTATTCGTTTTGTGACTCTGACAGAAGGAGCAGAAGTTCCATCGTGCATGAAAACACTAATGCTATTAGCGTAAACAGGTATAAGGCCTTGACTGAGAAATGTCATGTCTGAGCAGCAGCTACAGTCCCTTCGCATACTGCCAGCTTTAATTGTATGTACACCATGTTAGAAACACCACAGTATTTTGTTGTGACTTGCAGACGGTTCAACGAAAGATCCTGGAAGGAAATTCGCCAAATCCAGGTGCCTTCACTGTCCGAGAATGCTGAAAATTTCTACTCGTCGGAACAACAACAAAAACTACGGTGTTCCAAAAGGCATGAGAGTGTGATAACATCCATGATGCTCACTTCTTTCGATGTACCCTACTGTCTGAATTGAGGAGAGGCTTCTATCTAGTAGCTATGAAGATAACTGCTGCTGGTATTGGGCCACATTTGCGTCTGTCCTGCAACAGTAGCGTCCATTTTAACGTGGGTTGTTCTCCACGCTTCTCCTAACATCCGGTAGAGTCCGTTCTGTTAGTTTTGGATGCTCGAACCATGCAGAAACTGTTGTTTCCGATGTGACTGGAGCCGCCCTGTAACCTTATTCACTGTGGACAGTGATATTGGAAGTAACCTGGCAGTTATCCTTGACTTTGACCACCTTTCTATTATTTGACTTTGGGACTTCCTAAAAATGCGGTTAATTTTCAGGATTCTTTCATTTGCGGAATGGTTGTTTATATTCTGTGGCTTCTACGAGCCAAAACTGTATTTGTGCGCCAGAGTTATTTGCATATGACGTCAAAGAGACAGTCGATTTGTCTCTATGGGGTGTCTATTTACTTATTGGTCGGCTGTGTATCACGCTGACTGTGCACCAGTTGGGCAGCTGTGTAATAATGTGTACTACGTCAATATATACAGATTTGTTGAATGTATCTACCGTAACCACAAGTTAAACAAGACACCATTTTAACTATGTGGAGAGATAAACGATGTGGTTCTGTCTTGTTCAATTATACCTTACCGACATGATTGTTTTAAGACCTTACTACCCGAATTAAGCTAGAAAACAGGGTAATAAGATATAGTACATATGGAATGTTATTTATTTAGGTTCTTCTATGTACAATCTGTCGGATTGCAACAAAGTTGATTAGTAAAATAAATTTTATAGAATATTGCTTTTAAATAATCTTAATAAATTCTAGTACAACGAGTTGGAAATTATTTATATTGTATTAAAATTAATTAGGAAAAACTGCAGAAAAAATAAGTAGTCGAAGGTGATATGCCTGATAAATAACGTAAATATTATTTTTTAACTGGACGTTTCTAGATGTGAAAAATTTAGAGATGCATGTTAAGACAGCACATTTACCCTAGACTTCTGATCATGCGACTTTAGATCAAACGAAATTAAAACTCGGTGCGGAGATAGTTGGGATGATGTTCAGATCAACAAAAAGTTAAACAAATTAATCTAGTCAGTAAAATCTAGTGGCGAATCTATGTCTGACTGGTGCGTATATATTTTGTTTCTGTTTTTTCATTGTGCAATTCTAGTACACTTCAATTCATATTTATTACCTATTGGAAAGAACTTCCGTGAAGTAGGGTCGTTGGAATGTCACTGTAAGAAGTATAGACTTGCTAACCTAATGTTCATCTTCAATGGAATTCTGAGTATCGTTGCTCATCATCATTATTGAAATTTTTTTTTGCAACTTGTCTTCAGAGCTTTAAGCCCTAGAGGTTTAAGAATATACATAGAAAAAGAAAGGAAAATTAAATGTTAGTTGCTACTTTATAACTTACCTAGTATTTTCGAAACTGTATTTTGGGACATTAGGAGATGTCGGACAAAGTCATAAGGTTGCAAACTGTATGGTGTCATTTCTGTAGCAAAATTACGTGTTGGAGCTAGAGTCTCTCCACGTTGAGAGCGAGAGTTAAAATAGATTGGACTGTTGTGGCCTATACAAAAAAAAATATAGTATATGTAATTTATTAAAGTAAATATTTTTCAAACTAATACATAATTTATATGCTGTACAAGACAATCTAGATTTCTTTATAAATATCGTATTTTTATCTCAAGTATTATAGCTAACAATAAGTTGTTATATTTGTTTCTCCAAGTTTAAATTAATCAAGGATTTAACAAAAATAAAAATGTATTGTTTTTCCTCGGTTTCAAGTATCAATTAAATAATAACTCCTTTGTTTCTATATATATATTTAAAAACTTTTAATGATAAACGTACGTTTTAAAACTGTTAGACATATAAATATATTACACTTATTTTGTTTCTTATTTCTTTGCACATGTATATAAGAAACATATCTATTATGTGCGTGTATATGAAATCATTATTTTTTTTCATCTGACGGGTATTCCACCAAAGCTCTCATTTATGATGAACCTAACTTATATACACTTTGTTGTGTATATTTAAACAACTACACTAACATGAGTCAAAAATGTTTTAATTTTCATCTTGATCATCTCTTCGGGTTAACACAGAACAATCGACGCATTCAAGATTATGACTACAAAATGAGCAAAACAACAAGAGACCATGTAGACAATGGAATTATGATTAATCCCCAAACCATCATCTTAACCTACTTAAACTTCAGTATGGAAATGAGCCCAATTACCACTTGATGTCTCACTTTCCACAAAATATGCTGCTGATTTAAACCGATATGTGCATTTTACAATTGAACATGGAAATGTAACGTATCATTGAAAAACTTTAGCAAAAAAAAAATAATGATAAATAGCCATCGTTGATAAAATTGGATTAATCATATAATGTTCTTAAGGAAATTTATTGCTCCAAATACAAATCTTCAATAACAGACCCATGGATTATCCAGTCGAAGTTAAGCTTTTCCAGAAACATGGCCTTATCAATGAATCATCTCCATATAATAAAACTGAAATAGCCTACTTTCTAGAAAAATTCTGAAAACTCTGAAAAAGCTGGTGCTGAGATATTATTAATAGTCTACATATATTACCACATAACATTTGATTTGATTTCTATATTTTTAAACTATTACTAAACACAATTCTATTAGATCCACTTCTCAAGGGTGCTAGTTTAATGTTTACTTAACAATTTCAACTTAATTATCATTCAACTCTATTATTATTATTACTTCAAACATCACACAAACAGCCTTGAATTAAAAGTTATGGCCAGGTGGTTAAGGCACTCGACTCGCAATCTGAGGGTCGCGGGTTCGAATCCCCGTCACACCAAACATGCTCGCCCTTTTAGCCGTG